TTTGCTCAGCTAGCTCACAGGTATATATAGTATTCCTATTTGGAAGGATATTGTCTCTTTGACATTTTGGAACGATCTTTTGAACTTTGTGAATTCATAAAGGTCGAAAAGAGATTACAGCCCGATTCTTCGTCCTCCACCACCACCAACAATGAGGCCAGTACATGGTAATGATTCAGGTTTGGTGGATTTCCTTAGTGGTGATGTCTATAAGCCTCAAGGCTCCTCGTCTTCACAAGGCGTAAAGCCTCCTCCCCCTGTTGCTTCGTCTTCTCCTGTTTTCGATGATCCAATTCCGCTAAGAAAATCGCCTCCTCCGGCTCCATGGGATGCTGAGGTAATCAGGAATCTTCCACCTCCACCTTCAAGGCACAACCAGAGGCAACAGTTCTTTGAGCATCATCACTCGAGTAGCGGCTCTGATGATTCCTCTTACGAGGGTCTCGTTGGTCAGACCCGAAAGCTCTCTGTGTCTGCCTCTGCGACTGCAACTAGTGAACCGAAGAAAGAAGAGAAACCAGAGGATGTGCTTTTCAAAGACTTGGTTGAATTTGCCAAAGCTAGGTCATCCAAGCCCAACAAATAGATCGCTTTTGATTTGAGTCTTTTTGCTTGTGTAACAAGTATGCTTTATCAAATCTTTTTTCAATGGCATTGAGTGCATCATGATATATATTAGAGTGTCCTTTATCAAATATTTTCCTTTATGTTTGTTTGTGTTGTTGAACAAGTCAAATTGTTATATAAAAATAGAATTAGCAAGCACCACTCCTCCCCCTTCTTTATAGGAATCGATTCCTACTTTCCATATTTTCATGTTTTATAGGAACCATTGATTCTAATCTCTTATTTAAAGACCTGAAAACAAGACAGAATAAAGCATACATGATTTCTACAAAAAAAGTCCATCAATTGTTTTAAATTGGAATTTTCTTGAGAAGAACATGAAGAAAATCATTCCATTGGTGCTCATTGCCGCCATCGTGCTTTCGACATCACTTCTGGCTCCGATCAAAGCCTTCCCGAAGGAACGGGTGCCAGTGCCACCAGAATGCAAAGGGATTGCACTTGAACGTTGCATTAGTGCCTCCCTAAACGGAGGCGCAGCTTCTAACTGTTGTGAAATATCTAAACAAAACAGTTCGAAACCATGTTTGCGTATGATCTTTACGAACAAGGATCCTAAACTAAGCCGAATAGCTCAAAAAGAATTTCGGAGTTGTATTACTCGTCCACCATACCGTTGTTGAGGGATCAAGAGATTATTTTATATCATTAAAATAAAATAAACGTATTTGAAAAATTTGGCAGATAGTTCGATATGTTTAAATTAAATAA